CAACCCTACCCCTAAACCTACCCCTCACAGGAGACTTTCTGCTATTTCAGATTTTCAATACACTCCATTCTGTGTGATTTATAAGCTTTTGTACCCGTGGGGACCACAATTTAGGTCTCCACCGTGACACGAGTCCCCATGAGTCTGTGTGTAGTCAGGTTTAAGTCCCCACCAGGATATATAAACCTGTACACACACCCACACACACACACACACCCACCCTCTGTAACACATCACACATCTAAAATCACACACACACTGTGATCACACTGCACACACACAGCATTAAAAACTATTATTCCAACATTAAACTAGCTACACATGAAAACAACACACACACACACACACACACACACACGGCATGAAAGCCGTGCCAGCAGTTTGTAACAGGCTCAGCCATTCTTTTCATCTGCTATTGTGTGTGTTTGCGAGAGAGAGAGAGACAGCGAGAGAACAAAACCGGCTGTCTAATTCTGTCGGACGACACTGATGCGAGTATTCATGTCAATGAAGCTTGCGTTCAACATCACATGAATCTTGACGATGACTGATGAACACTGAGTACTGATGTCAACGCTGACCATCACACACGAGTAAGTCTGTCTGTCAATCATCTTCATGACCTTCATCACCTCTAAACAAGCCAGTTCATTAACATGCCTCAAAATCTGTGTCATTATAGCACGTTTACAACTCAGTCATTTCTATTAGTGTTTAAAACTATTTTTAACGAAGCATAACGTAAGTCCAGTGTGTCAAATACTGAAAATACACTACCGCTCAAAATACTTTTTTTATGTTTTTGAATCTTTTGCTCAATGTTTTTGAATTCTTACTAAGGCTGCATTTATTTGATCAAAAATACAATAAAAACAGTACAATTCTGAAATATTACAATTTAATATAAGTGTTTTCTATGTGAATATATTGTAAAAATGAGTGATCTTCAGAAATCATTCTAATACGCTGATTTGCTTCTCGAAAAAAACATTTCTGATTATTATCAATGCTGAACACAGTTATATTTTTGTGGAAACCTTGATACACTTTTTTTTTCAAGATTATTTGATGAATAGAACATTCAAAACAACAGCGTTTATTTGAAATATAATTGTTATATAAAATATAAATGCCTTTACTGTCATTTTTGATCAATTTATTACATCATTTTAATTACATTATAAAAATATAATTATATTATATCATCATAATTAATATAATTTTTTTTTTTTTTTTTTTTTTTTAAATCATAACACACTTTTGAACGGTAGTTTACATGCCATTGGTTATCTCAGTCTCCAGTTAACAATACTGACAACTGAGAAAAACTTCATGACCAGTTTAAGTCAAATCAAACACAGCATGCAAGAGCAAACCAGCAGCACAGCATCATATTCATCAACAGTAAACTGCAGCTCATCATTTACAAACCCTGGGCAATTTGTGCTCATGTTTTCGTCCCTAAGAATGAAACACTCGTTTCAGCTGAAAGAAAGAAACTGATAAACAAACACATTTAACCATAAAAAGGTGAGCTGATGAAGTTACTGCGACTGCTCTTACCTCAAACACAACAGCGATACATTAAAACTTCCTGAGCGCTCACGCCACGTCAGCACGTCAATCATATGACAACCAATGACAAGCTGGGACTCGCTTCAGGACACGCCCTCTTTCCGCGCGCCTCTGTACGAGTGCGTTCGTGTTCCTCGAGTTTCAGTAGAGCACCGCTAGAGGGCGACTGTGCAGTGTTCATTTACTGGTTTCTCTTGTTATTTAATAATTAATAATATTATTTCTAAAATAAATAAATAAATAAAATCCAGCACGTACTACATAATCAATCTTTGAATAAATAACCCATATACATATACAGGTGCATCTAATATATATATATATATATAATATCATGAAAAAGTTTTTTTTTGGAACTTTCATATATTCTAGATTCATTACATAAAAAGTAAAACATTATTTATATATAATATAATATAAATTATATAAATATAAATATATGCATGTAAATGCATTTAAATATTTTCAAAATATATAAGTGCATGTGTGTGTATTTATATAAACATAATAAATATACAGTACACACATATATTATGTAAACAAAAACTTTTAGTTTGGATACGATTAATCACGATTAATCGGTTGACAGCACTAATATGTATATATATATATATATATATATATATATATATATGTGTG